TAAAAATTGGCCAGTGGAAACCTTGTGAATAGCAGTGAAACATTGTCTGATGTATTACTGGAAAATTTTATGAATAGCCCTGAAATATCTCATTTAGTGCTAGAAGATGAGCCCCTCTGGTTGGAAGGCACTCAAAATATTACTGAAGAAGAGCTGTCTTCTCAAAATAGAGTCAACCTTAATGACTTGGATGGAGTAAAGCTTTCAGGACTTCATTTCCTGAGGGGGCACAACTAAAATGGGAAGAAACAGCTGCAAACATCATTAATAATCAGAACATAGACTGTACGAAGTATGAATCTAGGAATATTGGAAGTTGTCAAAAAAAAAATGTAATGCAGGGAGATTGATATTCTAGGTAATAATAAGCTAAAATGGACTGGTGATCATTTTGAATCAGACAACCAAGATCTACTGTGCCAGGAAAGACAAATTGAAGGGGAATGGTGTCGCATTCATCATCACAAAGAAGGTTTTAGGATCTATCCTGAAGTATAGGGCTGTCAGTGATACAATAATATCCATATGCCTACAAGACAGACCAGTTAATACTATTACTACTATTCAATTTTATGCACCAACCACTAAAGCCAAAGATGAAGAAGTTGAAGATTTTTGCAAAGTTCTGCTGTCTGAAATTGACCAAACATGCAATCAAGATGTATTGATTATTACCAGTAATTGGAATGTGAAAGTTGAAAACAAAAAAGAATCATTGGTAGGTGGAAAATAAGGCCTTGGTGAAAGAAATGACACTGGAGAGCACATGATAAAATTTTGCAAGACCAACAACTTAATCATTGCAAATACCTTTTTTCAGCAACATAAATGGCAGCTATACATGTACACTTCACCAGATGGAATACACAGGAATCAGATCAACTAAGTCTGTAGAAAGAGGCAATGGAGAAGCTCAGTATCTTCAGTCAAAACAAGACCAAGAGCTGACTGTGTTACAGACCATCAGTTGCTCATATATAAGTTGAAGTTGAAGCTGAAGAAAATTAACAGTTTTGGTCCACAAGAACCAAAATATGACCTGATTATATCCCATCTGAATTTAGAGACCATCTGAAGAGAATATATTTGATGCACTGAACACCAGTGACCAAAAACCAGACGAATGGTGGGATGACATCAGGAACATTATACATGAAGAACACAGACAGTCTTTAAAAATGCAGGAAAGGAAGGTAAGACTAAAATGGATGTCAGAAGAGATTCTTGAACAGAGAGTAGCTAAAGCAGATGGAGGAAATGATGAGATCAAAGAGCTGAACGGAAGATTTCAAATGGCAGCTTGAGAAGACAAAGTGAAATATTATAATGAAATGTGCAGAGATCTGGAGTTAGAAAACAAAAAGGGAAGAACACACTTGGCATTTCTCAAGGTGAGCTGAAAAAAAAATTAAAGCCTCATTTCAACATTGAAGGATTCTGTGGGCAAAATATTTTAATGATGCAGAAATCATCAAAAAGAAATGAAGGAATATACAGGGTCACTGTACCAGAAAGAATTGGACGATGTTCAGCTACTTCAGGAGGTAGCTTGTGATCAAGAACCAATGGTGTTGAAGGAAGAGTCAAAGCTGCACTGAAGGAATTGGTGAAAAACAAGGCTCCAGGAATTGACAGAATACCTACTGAGATATTTCAACAAGAGCCGGCAGCACTGAAGGCACTCACTCATCTATGCCAGGAAAGTTAGAAGGCAGATACCTGACCAACTGACTGAAAAAGATCGATATTTGTGCCTGCTCCAAAGAAAGGAATAGAATGTGGCAATTATTGAACAATGCCATTAATATCACATGCAAGTAAAATTTTGCTGAAGATAATTAGGAAATTGTTGCAACAGTATATTGACAGGGAATTCCAGAAATTCAAGTTATATTCAGAAGAGGATGTGGAACTAGGGATATCATTGCTAATGTCAGATGGATCTTGTCGTTGTTGTTGTTGTTATGTGCCGTCGAGTCGGCCCTGACTCATAGCGACCCCTCCTTGGGTTTCCGAGGCAGTATCACTATGGAAGTAGGATTGCCCAACCTTCCTTCCAAGAAGTGGCTGATGGGTTTGAACCGCCAGCCATCTGGTGAGCAGTTAAGTGCCTTAGCCACTATGCTACCAGAGCTCCCTCTAGATGGATCTTGGCTGAAAGCAAAGAAGAATAGATTTGAAAGATGTTTACTTGTGTTTTATTGACTATGCAAAGGCATTTGAGTGTGTAGATTATAAGAAATTATGGGTAACATTGAGAAGAATAGGAAGTCCAGAACACTTAATTGTGCTCATGAGGAACCTGTACTAAGACCACTTGGCAGTCATTCAGATAGAACAAGGGAATAAATCATGGTTTGAGATTGTTGTTGTTGTTGTTGTTATGTGCCGTTGAGTCGGCCCCAACTTATAGCGACCCCTCCTTGGGTTTCCAAGGCAGTATCACTACGGAAGTAGGATTGCCCAACCTTCCTTCCGAGGAGTGGCTGGTGGGTTTGAACCACCAGCCGTCTGGTTAGCAGGCAAGTGTCTTAGCCACTGTGCTACCAGAGCTGGTGTATGTCAGTGTTGTGTCCTTTCACTATACTTATTCAATTTGTATCTGAACAGACAGTCCAAGAAGCTGGATCATATGAAGTCGAGCATAGCATCAGGATTGGAGGAAGATTCATTAACAATCTGCAAAATGCAGATGACACAACCTTGCTTGCTAAAAGTGAAGATGCCTTGAAGCACTTACTGATGATGATCAAAGACTATAGTCTTCAGTATGGTTTACACCTCAAAATAAAACGAAAACCTTCACAACTGGATCAGTAAACAACATCACTTTAAATGGAGAAAAGATTGAAATCAGTTATTTCATTTTACTTGTATCTACAATCAACACCCATGGAAGCAGCATTCAAGAAATATTAGACATTGTATTGCACTGGGCAAATCTTCTACAAAAGACTTCTTAAAAGTGTTAAGAAGCAGAGATGTCACTTGGAAGACTAAGGTACACCTAATCCAAGCCATTGTATTTTCAGTTGCTTCATATGCCTGTGAAAGTTGGTCAGAGAATAAGGAAAACTGAAGAAAAATTGATGACTTTGAATTTTGGTGCTGGCAAAGAATACTGAAAATACCATGGGCTGCCAGGAGAATGAACAGATCTGTCGTGGAAGAAGGGCAGCCAGAATGCTCCTTGGAAGTGAGAATGGTCAGAATTTGTCTCACCTACTTTGGTCATGTTGTTAGAAGGGACCATTCCCTGGAGAGAAATACCATGTTTGGCAAGGTAGAGAATCAGTGAGAAGGGGGACGATCCTCAACAAGATGGAGTGACGCTGTGACTGCAGTGATGGCCTCAAGTATAGCAAGGATTATGAGAATGGTACTCAACTGGACAGTGTTTTGTTAACTGTTGTACATATGGTTGCTGTGAGTTGGAGCCAACTCATTGGCACCTAACAACAGCAACAACAGCAACTGGACGTTTCATTCTGTTGATCTGTGTTGTTGTTGTTGTTGTTATTTGCCGTCAAGTCGGCCCCGACTCATAGCAACCCCTCCTTGGGTTTCCGAGGCAGTATCACTACAGAAGTAGGATTGCCCAACCTTCCTTCCGAGGAATGGCTGGTGGGTTTGAACCACCAGCCTTCTGGTTAGCAGTCAAGTGCCTTAGGCACTATGCTACCAGAGCTCCTGTTGATCTGTAGCACTTTGTTTAAATTGGAGTCACTTTATAGCAGTTGCTGATACCAAATGACGCTAGCCTTAAAATCAGTGTCCTTTCTCAGGATGTTCTGGCTGCTTTCACGTGCATATTTTTATAATTTTTATTTACCAAAAAAAAAATCCCGTTTGTGTAAAGTCATTTTTAGGTTAACGTTTTATATCATTTTGGGTCCACCATCTCTGAGAGCATAATAAATCCCTTTTTATGTGTTCAGATTTTCTGTTGTATTAATAGCATGTTGGAGTTTTTTGATGGATCTTTCATGTTTTCTTGAAAATTTATTCCACTCCATGTAATTTGCTATTGTAAATGGTCATTTCTTCCATTATACATTTTATATGACTGTTACTTGAATGTGTAAATATTTAGTGATTTTTGTATAGTCATTGTGCACATATGCGTTACATAATTTTCTGTTGTTGGTAATAATTCCTAGGTCATCTGTGTACATTTTTTGGGCTGACAGGTATACCCCGTTTACAGTGCTCCTCCCTTCCTTCCTCTGACACAACTGGCCTTGGCTGGTGTCTCATGTGGAAGTAGGGTCAGGGCACAAAGGGATATAGTGCTCCTTTGTTATTTTGATGTGGATGGTCCCACACAGGAGCCAAAGCCCTACCTGTTTTTTCCTAGAATTATTGGCTCAATTGACATCATCTTTCTGTGCTTCTGGCTTCTCATCTGTGAGTGAAAATTGAAGCCATCAGTCTTGTAGGATTTTTTTGAGAACTGTAGGAGTTAATTCATGTAAAACACATCAGTGCCTGGCACATAGTACACAAAAAACAAACCCATTATGGTCAAGTCAATTCCAACTCCTAACAACCATGTAAGACAGAGTAGAGCTGCTCCATAGAGTTTCTAAGGTTATCAGTCTTTGTGGAGCAAACTGCCTCATCTTTCTCCCATGAAGAAACTGATGGGTTCTAATTGCCATCCTTTCAGTGATCAGGCAAGCATTTATCCAATGGACCACCACTTGGTAAATACTGGGTAACATTTTCTTTTTTCCCCTAAGCATATTAGCAGTGAAGTGGGAGATTGATAACGTTTTATCACTTTAAAGAAGTATCTATTTGGGGAATTATTTTCTTAAAGCTGAGAACTATAATGGTATACTGAGCTCACTGCCTTGGCTTTTTTGCTGGTGAAATCTGGCATTGGCCACTAACTTCAGTATAAAAGAGAATGGACAGTGCTGCTGTCTGCAACAAGTATAACAACATATCCCATGTAATGTATTTCCTTTGTCATTTTCCCTTTTCCTTTGATCCAGGTGGGCTAGATGATACTTTGCACACCATTATTGATTATGCCTGTGAGCAGAACATTCCATTTGTGTTTGCTCTCAACCGCAGAGCTCTGGGGCGCAGTCTGAACAAAGCCGTTCCTGTCAGTGTGGTGGGGATATTCAGCTATGATGGAGCCCAGGTGAGATGGGGCAGGGACTTCTGCAGGAGGAAGAGGGAGGAGAGCATGATTCACCTCTGCTCACCCAGCAGCGCAGTGCCTAGAACCTTCACTGGTTCGGCATTGAAGAAAGGCACCCACAAAGGCAGAGCTTCCTTATGAAATGGCAGTCATTTCATTAGCAGCCTACAAAGGGCAACATCAGAGTATAGTCCTTTTTGCTTACTGCTAGCTAAGGGATGCTGGGCAGGACTGTGGCCCTGCTCCCTGAATAAAAGCCCAGGAAGCCACCAGCCTGTTCCTGACTCCAGACTTGCCACCCTGGCCTCACCTCAATCCTGACCACACAGACTTGTGAGGAAGTGATGCCCAGTGTGGTCTTGCTTTTGTAAGGTAACCATTGCCAAGTTTTGGGAGCTAGTTTCCTTGTGGGTGGTCTTAGAGCATCACAAGTATGCTGTCTTCTATCCAAGGACCAGTTCCACAAGATGGTCGAGCTGACAATGGCAGCCCGGCAAGAGTACAAGACCATGTTAGAAAGTGTGCGTCAAGAGCTGGCTGAAGAGCCTGGGGCTCACACCCCTCCCAGCCCGCCCACTCAGGGCCCAGGCTGCTCTGCAGAGGATGCACACCTGGACCCAACTGAGAAAGAAGAGCCACATTACAGTGAGTTGCTTGGGGTAGAGTTGTGCAGAGCTTGAACACCATGTCAGCTCTTTATTGCAGTCATTTAATTGGCAGGGGCCACCTGTAACAAGGCCCCAGTGAAGTCCAGGCTGTTGACTCAAATGATCTCCTCAGACTTTGTGAGTCCCAGGCCTTGTCAGTGACTGTCTGAAACTTTGCTGTCTCAGACTTCGAGTCAGTGTCACCATAACAGAAAGTGGCTTAAAGATACCTATGTCCAGGTGGGACTCTAAGATAATTGGTCAGGGAGTTCATTAGAGTTTCTCATGGCCATAATTTCCCAAGGTGTGTTCTCTGGGATGTATTAGATGCTTCTCAATGAAAGGGGGCATGTAGGGGCCTCTGGTCCAGCCAAAAGGGAACAAAGTTCCATGGGACAGGAGCTTTCATTGTAGGACTTGTCTAAGCTTTTAATAAATTCATGTGTCGTGCTCCCCAGGTAGACTCAGCCATGATACTGGTGGCCTGACAGTGTTTGTATTACTTGATGATGCACTATTATTAGTTACACCATTTTCTTTTTTCTAGTTGAAATATGGAGAAAACATCTGGAAGCATATAATCAGTGCCAGGAACTAGAAGAAACTTTAGGGGCTTCAACCTCTGAAATGATGAATTTAAAATTATAAGAAGAGAGTTCTTTTATGTGTGTTTGTGTATTTTGGGTTGAGGGGTTGGTTAAAGACTCTGCATCTTATTCTCGTCAGTTCTTCACTGACAACTATTCAACATGGAAACTAGCCAGAGTGAAGGGAGTGTTTATAGACACTCAGCTTACTGGGCACCACACTGTGAGTCCCAGCAGAGAATTACTGGCTCACAGATAGGTTAGCTGACCCCTTTTCTGAAAGCCTTGTGAAAGCTTTCTAAAACCTTTGGTTTCTGAGCATAATGTGGATTTGGAAATACTGAAAAACATGATACTTACTTTGGCTGCTAAAGAAACTCCTCTCCATTGCAGAATAATTAAACCAAGTAAATTGGTTAGTTTCGTTACAGGAGCTAGGCATTGCATTTATTTACTCAGTGCCGGGCAGATCAAGATGACTTTTGCAGAGTGTAGAACAGGTGCCATCCTGATCTTAATTTTCTTTTCACCTCCCAGTAAACTGTCACTGCTTTGCAGGAAACCAATGTAAAGGCAGCTTTTAGTGATACTAACATTAGAGGAAAGAGGAATATGGTGAAGGGTTCATTTTTCAGGAGATGTATGTTTTCAGATTTTAAGAGATAAGAGATTTTGCTAAAATGAGCCTCAGAGGGAGAAAAATGTTTTCTAACCTGTGACTTTTTTCACATGAATTAATCTATTTAGTCTTTATTTTTCAGAGAAACAATACATAGTAATGTTCCTAAATTTCAGTTTTGATCATCTGAAACTCTTCTTTTTTCAAATGAACATATTCTGAATGTGGTTTCTATCTTTGAGGCAAGAGGGATAGAAATTTACTTTACTATTTTTCCTGTAAGTAAGAGGGCTTATTTATTTTGAATAAATAGTGATTAATTTTGATTAAGACTGGTGATTTTAGGATTTTTGGTTGTCTGTTTTATTGGCTGTCCCTAAGTCTCTGATTTGTCCATTTTGGATAATCTGGTCACTGCACTTCAAAGGACCAAGGAGGGAAGAGGGTTTGCTGTTCCCATACCTCTCATGTCATGAAATAGACACCACTAACACCACTCCTGCTAGGAATTACCCTTGTGCTTTTTTCCACCAATTTGAACCACATGGAATGAATTACATTGTGTTCTGCTGTTCTAGCAAGCAGGATCACTTTTTGGCTTTGAAAATACTGTTAAATGAAATCAATCATTCCAGCTATTTTACTTCCTCTGAGAAGTAAGTAAATGACCTGTTATGAGCAAATAAAATGGAAGTACTGGGTCCACCATGGCACATTGTGTAGATGGTGGAGTTTTAGCATCTTCCTAAGCTACTGAGAATCTTTACTTTCCATTGGTTTAACCCACATTCTCTCCAGGTGCTCTGGTTATACATTACTTGCCTGACAATAGAGAAACGCCCACTTTGGGGCCACAGCTAAGAACCTGAGTGACTCACACCACAATAATGGTGCTGCATGGAACACACAGAGAGCCAGAGCTTCCCATCACAAAACCAGGCACCTTAACACAGGCAGAACACTTTGCTTTTATTTTCTCAACACTGCAAGGAATCAAAAATGTATTATCATACACTATATTCCTCAACAGAACACCACATACTCTGATGCCTGGGTATATGTGTATGTGGACCATGAACATACTCTGGCTAAATCCAGTCAGAGAATTTGATATGGAAAACAGCACCAAGAACAGGAACCCAAAGCTTAGATGAATTCATTCCAGCAGCTGGTAATGGTGGAAACTGTGCCCTTAGGCAACAAGTGAAGACTTTAACCGAAGAGCTTTATGTTGAGTGTGTGGTAGTTCTCTGAGGAAGATCAGTATCCTTTGGCAGGGGGGACAAGCAGACATCTAGGAAGTGATTGGCCTGCCACATTCAAGGTGGGGTCCAGAGAGAGGTGAACACCAGGGAGTCTTTCTCCTTTTGACCACATTGTTGGAATGTTCATTGTGGATCTGTGAAATGACAGGAAAATGTGCTGATCTACAGGGACTGTTAAAAAAGAAAAACTTAACCTGTTCACTACTGAAATAACAGGATCTAGAAATAAGCCTATGATCATAAGACTGAGGAGACATCCATGACTTGTAGGAGCCACAAGAGAATTGTTGCTTTATTTTGAAACCAACATTTGGTTTTATGGTAGGCCTAAAAAGTGGCATTGCACGTGCTCACATAGGACATGCTCTCAGCTTTAATAGACTCAAAAGCATGAGTCACAGAACATTCTAACCAGACATGCTGTTGTGAAAAATTGTAGCAAGATACAAGATTTGCATAATTAAGCTACTTGTCTACCTCAGCCAAGCATGGTGTCCAGTTGTAGAAGTGGAGAATCAATAGAGTACACGCTCAGATGCATAAACCACAGTGTTTACAAAACGGAATCAAATACTCTTGAGATTAGTGAAGAATAACACAATTTTAGAATACTCATTTTTGCTGACAGTTTAGACTTCTGTCACTTAAGATTTAAGACAAAATACGTTCATTTGGAGTCTCATCTTTTTCTATTCTGGTAGTGTACTTTAGAGTGAAATGGGAAGAGCAGTTGGGTAGATTTATATCAGTGAAACAATGAAGAAAGACTGGGCTAACTTACTCATTGGCTGTTGTGAGGGTAGCCTTTTCCCAAAACCCAAAATTACTCAGATCCTATAGGAATTACATTTAAAACAATGATGCTTGTTTTGGAAAGGAAAATGGTACATACACTGCTATTTCAACTTAAGAGTTTTTGTGGAGTACTGATCTGCTTCTGCCAGAGAGCCTCTTCTGTCATAGAAAGCAGTTGATTTTTTTTTTTTTTTAAAAAAAGGGCATGACTGTTCACAGTCCAGCTGGGGTCCTGTTTCCAGTGCCTCTTGGGGAGACCATCGTGCACATGCATGGGGACACATTCAAAGCAGGTAGAGCAGGAACAGCAGAACTGTGGGGCTTCAGGGTGTACAGACTCCAAAGGTGATGAATAGGCAGCAGGGTCTACTTCAGATTTGTCTCAGGAGCTGCCTTGTGGCTAAAAGGTATCCTTGTCACAACTTTCCTGAAAGAGCAATGTTGTGTTTGAATTCTTGGCAAAACCAATGGACCTTTTTCACTCAAACCAGTTTCTCACTAGCAGTCAGCTCATGGTCATTATCTTGGACTGCATTTTTCCACATGGGAGGAGAAAGTGGAAGTGCAGCAGGTTCTTGTGACTCTGTCCTGTTCTTTGGAGGGAGCACTCAGTTTGGCCTGAACTGCCAAGACCAGTTCCTCCTCCCTTACTGTTTTGTGGGGCAGGAATATGGCAAGAGGGGAGCCCACACATGTTCTAGTCCCCGTATTCAAACTGTAATTTTAAAAGGTCGATTACAAAGTCCCCTTTGCTGACACCAACTTCGGAGGCTTTTGGTAACCTTTTAAGCCAAAAACTTAAAACCTGGGGTATGCATGGTTACAAATTCCCCCTGTATTTGGCAGCACATCAAATATAAAACCTCAGGAAGGTGCTGTCCTATGAACTGTGACACCAGTTGCTAGGAACCACCTGCAGAGCTCCTGTCACTTGCTCTTTGCAGGACTGGTGCTCAAGATGCCACCTCTCTGTCCCCCACAAGGTGCAGCAGCAGAGGCCCCAGGGTCCAGGTTGGCGCAGTCACAAGCCAGCCTAAGACACCACAACTCACCAGCACTAAGCACCCTGCTTCCATTTTTCCTGCTCTTGAAAGTGTTGACCACTTGAGGCCTTTTGGCCAGGCTCTGTCCAGGGAAGGGCCAGCCTGTGCTGCTTTAATCACCCTCCACCCTCAGGCTGGTGATAAGATGCAAAGTTCACCCCATGTTGAAGGGCTGTGGATGCTCAGGTGGAGTTCTCAAAAAGCAGACCTTTGTAAGAAGGTCTGCTGACAGGAGTGGGAGAGGGGACTGTGCAGCCCTGGCCCAGGAGGCAGGCAGTGGCCTGCCAGCCATTTGCTTCCCACACCCACTCCCGGCTTGCAGCATACCCATGCCTTCCTCCAGCTCTGCATCATGCGGTCATGCTCGCCAATGATAGTCTTCCAAGCAGCAAGCTCTCTGCTCCACTTCTCCTGGTGAGTTGCCTCTGGAAGACAGAAGTGAAGCTCCTGGTCACAGGTCTTAACGGCCCCTTCCATGCCCACTGTCCATTCTCTTCCCCTGTTACATGTTAAAATGCCAAGGAAATGAGGGGTAAAGGGATTGATCCAAGGTTACAGCACCAGTGGTAGAAGTGGGCCCCTCTCTGCTAGGGGGGAGTCAGGCACAGCAGGGCTCGAGGTACCTGCTGTGTGACCTTGGTTAAGTTTTATAACCCCTCAGAGCAGCAATTCCAAGGTCAGTTGTCACCACCACGTGCCTGCTACCTCCAGGTCACCAACTCTGATAGCAGCTGGTCCTGAAGGCCGAGATCAATGCCAGGGTGGCCCTCTTAACTCCTCTTAAGTCCCCAAACACTGATAGCCCAACCTAAACCCTCCAAGACCTGTAGCATCAGTAACACCTGGGAGCTTGTTAGAAATTTTGAATCTCAGGCCCCACCACTGATCTAAAAAATCAGTGCATTTTAGCAAGACGTTCAGTGTACTAGAACATATGTTCTAGTGGAGAAGTGCTAGGTTAGACCACTTTCCTCTCTAACTTCAGTGCCCAGGAATCAACTAGAGGGTTACTTAAAACAGGTTTCACCCCCAGAATTTCCAACTGAGCAGGTCTGGGGTAGAGCCGGAATTGCATTTCTCATAAGCTTCTGGGTGGTAGTCATGTTGTCAGTCCCTGAGTACCAAGGTCAGGGACCTTTCAGTGAACCAGCCCAGCCAGGAAAGGTCACAGTCAGAAAATACTGCCACCCTCCACCATGACTCAGAGCTACATTTATAGTGCCCCATTCTTAAAAGCAATCAGCCAGCCAAGGGTCGTAAGACATTCGAGGAAATATTTAACATGAATGACATGAGTGACAAATAGGAAAAAGCAACTAGGAAGAGAAGAAAACTTTAAGAAAATATCAGTATCTTAAGAGATGGAAGAAAAGATACTGCGTAAAACAATACAATGCAATGAAAAAAAAATCAGAACTCGGGGGAAAAAAAATAAACTTTGGGAGTAAGACGAAACAAGCTAATAGGAAGCAGAAGAAAGCAAGCAAAGATAGTGGGCAATGCAACCCTGCTGTGGAGTCAGATCCAACTCATAGCGACCTCTCCATGGGTTTCCGAGGCAGTATCACTTCGGAAGTAGATTGCCCAACCTTCTGAGGAGTGGCTGGTGGGTTCAACTGAACCGCCAGCCTTCTGGAAAACAGTCCAATGCCTTAGGCACTGTGCCAGCAGAGCTCCTAAAGGTGGGGTGGTGGTGGGGGGAAGTAGAAAATTAGAGGGCTGCCCAGGTAATCCAACATCTGGAAAAATAGTTTCAGAGAAAGAAACAGAGATACCACTTTCCAGGACTGAAGAAAACTTTCCAAGATCTAAGGGCAAGGGTTTCCACATTTAAGGAGCCCAGCCATGGCATGAAAATACCAAGACATAAAATTTAACACTACTTGAAAAAACAGAAAATAACACAAGCTTCCATGTGGGAAAAAAATCAAGTCACGTGCAAAGTAACAGGCAAAAGAAGGCAATGGAGCAATGCCTTGAAATACTGGAGGATAATGATTTTTAGTCTAGAATTACGTTGTTGCCATTGAGTGCATTCCATTGAGTACAACAGAACAAAACACTACTCAGTACTGTACCATCTTAATAATGGTTGATATGTTTGAGCCTGTTGTTACAGCATCTGGCTGCACTTCCCATGATAGATTTCTTCGTTCTTCTGTTAACGCCGTAATTCAAAGGCATCAATTATTTGGTCTCCCTTACCCATTGCTGTGGTAGATAAGTGGTATGTCAACTTGGCTGGGCCTGGTTTTGAGTCTGAACAGCTGAATGTAGTTATTACCCATGATGAGACTGATAATCAACTCCATGGTGGAGTATACTAGAGCAGCTGAGTTGTTGCCTTAGGGATGTGGTCTGCTTCCAGTATAAGAAGACAGCTTTGAGAAAGGTCTCTGAGCTTTTTGGCATGCTTGGACCCTGCATGTAGCTGAGTCTTCACCTCAATTGCCTGCCATGTTGTCTGCTTATCTTGGGACTGTTAATGGATTTGAATTAGTGGCCTGCCATATTGCTTGATAATCGTGCCATTTTACTTGTCAACTTGGGTTTGTCAGCCGCAGCAGCCAGCAGCTGCCTGAGCTAAGAGATGCCTCCAGCTTCAGGGGGTTGGGAGGAAGAGGGAGAGCTGAAGCCCACGGTGGAGGAGCTTTCACCCAGCCCCTAGAGCTGGCACTTTGAACTTGGACTTCTAACCTCCAAAACTGTAAGAGAATAAATCCGTGTTTGTTAAAGACACCCATTTGTGTTATGTCTGTTAGAGCTGCACTAGAGGACCAAAACAACTGCCCAGCTTTTTCATGCATATGAGATGATTGAAAATACCATGGCTTAAGGAAGGGGCACCTAAATCCTCAAAGGGACATCTTTGCTGTTTAACACTTTAAAGAGGCCTTTAGCCCAATGCAACATATCATTTGATTTTTTTTTTTCTTTGTTACATGTTTTTAAAACTTTTTATTGTGATTTGAGTGAAAGTTTACAGAACAAATAGGTTTTCCATTCAACAATGTATATACATTTTGTTTCATGCCATCAATTACATTTCTCACTCTTCCCACTTCGTGTTTCTGTTTTCCATTTGTCCTTCTTTTCTATCTCTTCCTGCATTCTGAACCTTGTCCCTGTGCACATGCTGCCCTTTTGATCTCCAGTGGTGCATACCTCCCTGGTGTTACTCACATTACAGACCTGTTGTTTGGGTGAAAGTTGAACCACAGGTGTTGAGTTCAGTTCCAGGCTTGAAGGGCCATAGTCTTGGGGGTTCCACCAGTCTCTATCAGACTGGTAAGCCTGGGTTTTTTTACTATTTTTTGTGCCACATTTTTCTCCCACTAGATCCAGGAATTCCTATTTTGATCCCTTTCAGAATGGTTGGCAGTAGTAGCCAGGCACCGTCTAGTCTCATACTCATGGAGGCTGGAATTCACTGGTCCATTAGTCATTCAGATTAATTATTTCCATGCATTTTTTATTTTCTTCACTCTTCTTTGCTCTGGACAGGGAGACATCAATAATTGCACCTTAGATGGCTGTTGAAAAGCTTTTGTGTGTGTATGTGCTTTATGAAGATAGTGGGTCTGCTGTTTTATTTTATCGTGGTAAAATATATACAGGTAATTTCTGACTTACAACAGGGTTCTATTCCAGTAACTCCATTATAAGTTGGTTTGGACCTAAGTCGAATACCTCATTTTTTTTGTTTTGTTTTTTTTTTCATTATGACTGCCTTTAAAAAAAAAAAAAAAATCAGTATCTTTATAAATCTAATCTTGATTTGTCTTTGGAGTCTGGAAACATTACATATAAATTTATAGATATATTTTAGTACATACATACATACAAATACACAAATCATAAAAAACAATGGATAGTTTTAAGTGTAGTTCATCATACCTTGAATATGTCCTAAGTCAGGGATTACCTGTATAACCAAAATGTTTCCATTTTAACAAATTTTATATAGCACATTCAATGACATTAATTACATCCACTGTGCTGTGTACCAGTCACCATTATCGATTTCCAAATTTGGGGCCAATTTTTTTTTTTTTTAATTGTGATTTGAATGAAAGTTTGCAGAGCAAATGCATTTTCCATATAGCAGTTCACATACACTTTGTCTCATGACATTGACTACAATTTACCCCAATGCAACAGCTCACCTCCCATTTCCTCCTAATACATACCTCTTCCCTGTGTCCATCCCTCCATGCACTCCTGTCCCCTGAGCTATCGCTCTGTGCATAAACAGTCTGTCTTTCTCCCATGATTGTTCTCTTCCAGGAGTGTATCTACCTGGTGTAAATGTTCACCTCATATGCCTGTCTTTTGTTTGGCTGAAAGCCAAAGGTGTGGGTTCAATTCCAGACCTGAAGGGCAGCTAGGGGCCATAGTCTCAGTGGTTCCACCAGGCTCTATCGGACCAGCAAACCTACCCCCGTCCCTTTTATTTTTGTTTTCCCCAAATGATTTTGAGCTTTGTTCCACATTGTTCTCCTTCTCTATCCAGGATCTCCCACATAGATCTCCCTCCAAGTGGTTGACAGTGGTAGCCAGGCACCATCTAGTTCTTCTGATCTCATAGTTGTATAGGCTGAGGATCACATGGTGTAGCAGTCTCTTGGACTAATTGTTTCCATGAATCTTTGGTTTTCTTCATTCTTCTTTGCTCTGGACGAGGAGAGACCCATCGTTGCATCTAGATGGCCACTTGCAAACTTTTAAGGTCCCAGTCGCTACTCGCCAAAGTAGGAGGTGGAACAATGTTTTTTGTAGTATGTTACGCCAATTCATCTTGATGTCGCCTGCAACTATGGTCCTGAGCCCACAGGTTCAACTACTCGATCCTTCTTAGTAGCTGACTGTGCCCAAGAAGTGACTACAATCTTGTCCTTCGTCAGCTCTACTATACACCTGGGAATTCTTAGAGAACATACAAATACACTTGTAGAACCACTGTCTGTCAACCCTATATATGGTCTTGGGTACACTCTCTCCTGCATAGACATACCTACTAGTTCAGCCTGTCTACCTTGTCTATCCACCTGTATACCCATGTTTGCCTTTACTGCAACACAGTACTGTATGTGCAAAAGGGTTCATCTACACCTCCCATGTACCTCTTTATGTCTTCCTCTTTCTCAATGCCACCATGTTGATCACTCACATTTGGTACATTGCTCTTCTCTTCACCCAAATCAATACTTATCTCTACCTACCTATCTAGCAGTGTTCGCTACCCTCCCCTCCCACTGCTGGTAACCAACAAAGAAAATTTCCTTCCATATATAAACCTTTCCTTGACTTTTCACAATAATGAACTAATACAATATTTGTCCTTCTGTGATTGACTTGTTTCACTCAGCATAATGTCCTGCAAGTTCATCCACGTAATGTGGTGTTTTGCAGATTCTACGTTATTCTTTAGGGTTGCATAGTAATCCATTGTGTGCATGTACTATAGTTTGGTTATCCATTCCTCAGTTGATGGAAACCTAGGTTTTTTCCCTCTTTTTGCTGTTGTAAGTAGTGCTGCCACAAACATGGGTGTGCATATATCTGTTCTTGTCCTGGCTTTCACTTCTTTAGGATATATACCTAGTAATGGAATGGCTGGGCCAAATAGTATTTCTGATTCCAACTTTTTAAGGAATCACCATACTGCTTTCCACAGTGGTTGTATATTTTACAGTCCCACCAGCAATGTATGAGAGTCCCAATCTCCCTGCATCCTCGCCAGCATTTGTTATTTTCTGTCTTGTTGAACTTTGCTACTAGTGCTGGGGCAAGATGTTGTTTTGATTTTACATCTCTCTAATGGCTAATGATCGGGGCTGCTCACAAGCTTTTGATGAGCAAACTACGGTACATACAAACAGTGGAATACTACGCAATGGAAACAAATAACAATGAATCTGCAAAATATCTCGTAACATGGAAAAACCTGGAAATCATTATGCTGAGTGAAAGTAGTCAATCACAAAAGAAAAAACATTGTATGAGACTACTACTGTAAAAAGTCAAGTAAAGTACACACAGAAAGAAATATTCTTTTAAGGTTACCAGGGGTGGGAGGGGAAGGGAAGGTAAATCACTAACTAGAAGGTAGGCATGAATTAACTTAGTGAAAGAAAAAGTAGTATACAATAAGGAGGAGGTCAGCACAAAGTGATCAAGGTAGAGGAATACAAGAGTCAAAGGCAATAAAGGTAAATACTATCACTTACCCAATCCTGTAGTAACAGCAATAACAGTCTTTGAGCGGATGCACAGACACACAAGCTGGACAGGTATGGGAAGGCAAATAGGACTACATCTACAAATATATATAGGTTTGACAGAATATTTCTACATATGTATTTACATATGCTATAAATACATCCATGAATATAGTAGAGCATACAGGAGGCAAAGTTATGAAAACAGCCATAAGCAAATACATTGAGGGAATGGGTTGCTGGATCGAGGGGCTAAGGACCCATAGTCTCAAGGATCATCAAGGTTGATTGGTGTAACATAGGCAACAAAGACAATGTTCTCATCATACTTTGGTGAGTAGTGACTGCGGTCTTGTCGTTTAATTTCTTGACTGCTGCTTCCATGGGTGCTGTCTGTGGATACAAGTAAAATTAAATCCTTGACAACTTCAATCTTTTCTCCATTTATCATGATGTTGCTTACTGGTCCAGTTGTGAGGGTTTCTGGTTTCTTTATGTTGAGGTACTGAAGGCTGTAGTCTTTGATTGCCATCAGTAATGTCCTCTTTGTTGTGTCATCTGTATATTGCAGGTTGTTATCAAGCTATCATTTAAGTATAAAGAGAAAAATGATGCATAAGGTCTCAAAACATTTACTTCCTATACACTCTTTCTGAAGTGTGCTGGGAACACACATCACAAAAATGGAGTAAATCAAGAAAGGAACACCTAGGAAATGAGAAACACCATCCAATAGGTCAGAAACACAGTCTCCAGCCTCAAGGTGAAGGACAGAAACACAGAGTCTCCAGCACAGAAACATAGACTCTGAACCTTAAGGTAAAGATGGCAACTTGGTACAGAGGTGAACTGTTCAGCTGGAGGAGACCAGAAGGTTCTGGGGGAGGTAACAACAGAATGCCAATATGTCTGTATTTATGGAAAGATTTAGGCACCTGCAAGAGTTGGTGTTGAATTAACATAACTGAGAGGGAAGCAAATGAAAATCAGCACAATTATTAATACCTCAGAAAACCAGAAGTGTAGGAAAAGAAATAATGACCTACTTGACTACCTATCCTAGGGCGTAATGTAAACACTGAATAATCTAACCCAAATGTGTACATGAGGAGATAGAAGACTGGCTGTGTGTGTGTGTGTGTGCAGGAGCAGCACACTAAAAAAGCTAAATCCTCATCTTTCCTAGTATAAATCTAATGGATAATCCAAAAATTAAGATGACACTATATAAGCATTCTTTTAGAGATACAAGGGTATATATATATATACATTTTTTTTTTTAATTGTGATTTGGGTGGAAGTTTACAGAGCAAATTCATTTTCCACACAGCAGCTCACATACACTTTGTCACTTTATCTCATGACATTGACTGCATCTCCCACAGTGCAACAGCTCTCTTCCCACCTCCTCCCCATAGTTAACTTTTCCCTGTGTCCTTTCTTCCCACACACTCCTATCCTCTGAGCTGTCTCCCTGTGCATATACAGCCTTTCTTTCTCCCATGATTGCTCTCTCCATGGAGTGTATCTACCTAATATTCAGCTCGCATGCCTGTCTTGTCTTTGGCTGGAAGCCACAGGAGTGAGTTCAATTCTAGACCTGAAGGGCAGCTAGGGGCCATAGTCTCAGTGGTTCCATCAGGCTCTATCAGATCAGCAAACCTGGTCCCTTTTTTTTTTTCCCCAAAATGATTTTGAGTTTTGTTCCACATTGTTCTCCTACGTAGATCCTCCTTCGAGTGGTTGACAGTGGTAGCCAGGCACCATCTAGTTCTTCTGGTCTCATAGTCATATAGGCTGAGGATCACGGGGTATACCAGTCCCTTAGACTAACTGTTTCCATGTGTCTTTGGTTTTCTTCATTCTTCTTTGCTCTGGACAAAGAGAGACCCATCATTGCATCTAGATGTCTGCTTGCAAGCTTTTAAGATCCCAGTCACTACTCACCAAAGTAGGAGGTGAAACAATGTTTTGTGTAGTATGTTATGCCAATTGAGCTTGATGTCCCCTGCAACTATGGTCCTGAGCCCACAGGTTCAACGACTCGCTCCCTCTGGGTAGCTGGCTGTGACCAAGAAGTGACTACAACCTTGTCCCTTTTCAGCTCTACTATATACTGGGAATTCTTACAGAACACACAAATACACTTGTAGAACCATTGTCTGCCAACCCTGTACATGGTCTTGGGTACATCCTGCTGCATAGACATACCTATTAGTTCACTCTGTCTACCCATCTGTCCACCCATATACCCATGTTTGCCTTCACTGACAATGCAGTACTGTATGTGCAAAAGAGTTCATCTTTGTCTCCGTTATTCTTTAGGATTGCATAGTATTCCATTGTGTGTTTGTTCCATAGTTTGGTTATCCATTCTTCTGTCGATGGGCACCTAGATTTTTTTCATCTTTTTGCTGCTGGAAATAGTGCTGCCACAAACATGGGTATGCGTATATCTATTCTTGTCCTGGCTTTCACTTCTTTAGGATATATACCTAGTAATGAAATTTCTGGGCCAAATGGTATTTCTAATTCCAACTTTTTAAGGAATCACCATACTGCTTTTCACAGTGGTTGTATCATTTTACAGTCACAAGGCTAAATATTGTTTAAAAACAAAACACTTAAGGTGAAAGTGGGGAGAGGAGGGTCAGGTACTCACTTACCATGTCTCATCACTGTGACCCGCACTTTCGAGGTACTGCTTCCTGCTGAGGAGAGAACCCAACAGCGATACTCAGAGCTTTCTCGGATGGAGTCTTGCAGCCAGCTGAATGCGTGAATCCTGCCATTGGACAGCACATGGGTCTGCACAGGGACACAGGTCTCCAGCTTTCTCCCGTTCTTCTCCCAGACAAAGTGAACATCTGATGGACCTGGAGATACACAGATCATTTACCCCTCCAAGGTCCCTGAGCATCCATGTAGGAACTTCATGAACTGTCCCTGGTATGGGAGAGTGTGAAGACCTTCTTTCTATCCCAGCTAGACCTGAATAAAGGGTGGGTCTCAACTCAGTTGCCTGGTACATCCTGTAGACCTGGGACCCTGGAGGCTCAGAGGTACTTCCCAGGCTCTTAGAAGACAGCAGGAGGAGAGGGTCACAATCAAGTGCCTTGGGTCTTTGACTCCACCTTGGGTTTTGTGGAGCCTCAGGCCCTGCCTTTCTTTAGAAAACATCTGCAAGGTCCATGTCCTCCAGAACAATATTTGAGCCATCACTGCCCATGGTCTCTTCATCTAGGTCAAGGGCTTGGTGACTATTCTTGGGAACCTTGGATTTTCATTCTGTCCCACCCTGGCCTGATGCTGCTGCCTCCTGCTCGAAAGGCACTCTTCTCTCCAGAACCATCCTGTTGTTCACAGCCTGGAGGTGACATCCTTGGAGGGGCAGCAGAGGACCCTGGCCAGTCCTGAACAGCTTCTCTAAGCATTGGGCACCAGATAGCCACAGACAGACAGGTGTGGGGCAGAGTGGGCACTGCCCAAAGAGCTCCTAGTGTGTCAGGAGGGGGCCAGATTAGTCACTTTGACCTAGGCAGGTGCTGACGGGAGTGGACATGGCCTACTGGGAACATGATGGGGCATAAGTACCAGTTGTAGGGGCCAAACTTAGCCCCTCACAGAAAGTTCTGCCCCTGTAGGATCTGGCCCACTGTCAGGTTTGGAGACCACATTGCTCGGGTAGGGCCAGGCCTGACACCCATCCTCGGGCTCGTTTTCTCCCTCCTGGTGAAAAGCAGAGCTCCTGGCCAATGACAGGAAGCTGCACCATAGCTGCTGTTGTTAAGTACTCTATAGACCCTTATTTTCCTTTGGGGGGTTTTAATTACAGAAAAGACAAAATGGGAAGGTAGACCATTGTGTTTCTCAAGATTCCTCTACTGAAACCCTTTCCAGAAGGGTAGGGCCTAGTGGGTTCTGGCTTATCCAATGGGCAGAGCTGGGTGGAAGTGTTTCCTGGGAGTGCCCAAGTGGCAGAGACCTGGAGGTTGGGGCCCGGGGCAGACCAGTGACTAGGCACCTGCGTTTCCTTTCCAGGCAGCAGATGGTCCTGTGGAAGGCAGTCTCACAAAGCCACGCTGGTCAGCTGTGGAGGGGATGGGCTGCTCGAGTTGGGTAGGCCCAGGCTGCCCCTGCAGAAACCCAAGGCATAACAGGGTCCTATGCAGAGCCACCATGTTGTTGTTATGTGCTGTCCAGTCAGACCCAACTCATAGCGACCTCTTCTTGGGTTTCCGAGGTGGTATCACTATGGAAGTATATTGCCCAACCTTCCTTCTGAGGAGTGACTGGTGTGTTTGAACCACCAGCCTTCTGGTTAGCAGTCAAATGCCTTAGGCACTACGCTACCAGAGCTCCTAGGGCCACCATAGGACCTCTTTATTCTAGGGCAGTGTGTGTTAGGGGGATGGACTCTGGTGCCAGAGTTACCACTGGTACCCAGTGGTGACCTAGCTCTATCTACCCTGCCTGGGCCACTTCCTTATCTGGAAAGGGAGGGCTGGACAGTGAGTGATATACAGACTTCATCCTGGGGCCTCAAACACAGCTGGCTGGGCTGAAATAGACTCAATTCCTTGCTTCTTTTAAATAACAATTGTTGTTGTTGTTGTTATTTGCCGTGGAGTCGGACTCGACTCATAGCGACCCCTCCTTGGGTTTCCGAGGAGGTATTACTACGGAAGTAGACTGCCCAACCTTCCTTCTGAGGAGTGGCTGGTGGGTTTGAACCACCAGCCTCCTGATTAGCAGTCAAGTGCCTTAGACTACGCTACCAGAGCTCCTTTAATTAACAGTAGGCAACTCCATCTCTACTGAAGGTTTTCTGTGGGACTTGGGTTGAAGAAAGGACTGAGAAGGGAGTGAAAGAGCCAAGCTGACACCTGCTGAGCTCCAGTTGTTCTAGTCATTTTTGTCCAGGCTATGAAGTCCCTGGGCTAAGCAAGACAATTATACCAAGTCAGGTGGCCCCTAACCAGACCTTCCCTCAAAGGGGCCTGTAGGCACAGCCTCTTTTCCAACTCCTGGTCAAGGGGAATGGGACGCTACTATTCCTGCTGTTCCCAGTCTGAGTAGGGCTGTGGGACTGGCTCAAGAGGTCATCCAGTGCAGGCGGCTTGGCTTTTCCAAATGCCCCATGGCCTCCCCTTTCCCACAGACACATTGGCTCAGGTCATACCAGTGGGCCAAAGTAGAGGTCTTCATCAGCTGGCACTGCACAGAAAGACTTTTTACACTTCTAGAATTGACTGTAGTGTCAGCACAAAGAAACATCCACATACCCATATTACATGGTCCAGATACCTCATGAGAATCAGTTTAAAAAAAAAAAAAAAAAAAAATTAGATTTTACCTATGCCTTCAACCTTGGAATGTTGTATCCAATGTTGTAAATAAGATGTGGTACCACAAATGTGTTCAGTCAGTTAAAAGGAAGGAATTAGATCTGTTATCTATGGCTAGAGTTCAAAAATATTGAGCAGAAAAACAAATTATAGTGACAGGGTTAAGACCATCCTTCATAAAAAGCAACTGTCATTGCCCTTGGGTAGGTGTCTACATGTCTGTGTGTGTGTATGTGTGTGTGATGCAAGGCATTAAGGGGCTGGGAGGTCTCACACACTTGCCTCTGGAGGGGTGAGGTGATCAAGACTCATGATACTGGCCAAAAATGGCTTTCAATTTCTGTCATTCTGATGTTTTTTTTAAAGGAAGACAAGTTCTAGTTTAACTGAAGTTATTTTCATACTGGAGTTTCTCACAGGATCAGCTTCCTGCTTCACCAAACGTGGCACCTGTTCACCTCCTTAATCTACAGTCTTCTGGATTATCAAAGAACTCCCTTCCGAAGGGCCTAAATTGAGGTCCTGTAACTGGACAATCCTAGGAATGAATCTTGAGGAAAGGATCAGACCATACTGAGGAGGTCACTGGAATCCTGCTCCTATCAGTGAGAAGCTGCAAAATGCCTAAAAAGGGGGTCATATAAATAATGTGATGGCCAGCTATGTTGTCATACAATATGAGTGTCATTTAAGGACACCTGTTGTTGTTATGTGCCATCGAGTCAGACCCGACTCATAGTGACCCCTCCTTGGGTTTCCGAGGCGGTATCACTACGGAAGTAGATTGCCCCATCTTCCTTCCGAGGAGTGGCTGGTGGATTTGAACTGCCAGCCTTCTGGTTAGCAGTCAAGTGCCTTAGCCACTATGCTACCAGAGCTCCCTTAAGGACACCTAGTAACAGGTAAAACTTCTAACAACATTGTGTTAAATGAAAAAGTAGGAGTATGCGTGTGTGTGTATATGTATGTACATACAGGTTTGTGCATGTACACATACATATGGTGTATGTATATATATGTGTGTGTACACACACACGTATATGCACACGGAGAAAAGGCCTAAAAGTAGCCAACATGGTGGTGGTTGCTACGTCCAAATAGTTAAAAGTGAGGTTGTTTTAATTATTTACTTTTTACTTTCCTAGATTTTTTTATTGAGCTCTGGTAGCACAGTGCCTAAGGCACTTGACTGCTCACCAGAAGGCTGGCGGTTCAAACCCACCAGCCACTCCTCGGAAGGAAGGTTGGGCAGTCCTACTTCCGTAGTGATACTGCCTTGGAAACCCAAGGAGGGGTCGCTATGAGTCGGGGCCGACTTGACAGCAAGCAACAACAACAACAATATGACAAAGAGTATGCTTTTGTAACTAAAAAATAAAGTGCTATTTTGAAAAAAAAAAAAAATGTGCCACTGACTCTGAAAGATATTCTGAAAGGTATATCTGAAAGCATTTTTTACAACAGCTCTGCTCCCCCAGGCCTAAAGGGGCTGCTTTGAAAAGAAGGCCCAACCTGTGGACAAGCTCTGGTGGTTGTACCGTTGTTTTTTGTGCAGGATTTTTTTTTTTTAATATCCTATCACTCTATAATTTGTTTTTCCTACTCAATGTGCTTAGAACTCTAGCCATGGATAACTATATGTTACCTTTCTTTTCCTTCCTTTTAAGTGCTGAATATGTCCATGATAACCCATTTTCTTCAGTCCTTCCTCAATTGATGGGCATCTATGTAGAATCTAAAATGCTGATTCTCTGAAGATGTCCTGATCAAATATGAGATGTTTCCTTGAACAAACATGAAAGTCAACACTGAAAAAGTACAGTCTTCTCCTTCCTCTCCTAGCCCTGCCTGACAGGGTGATATGCACTAAAACCCACCTGGAGGACTGGGATCACAGAGTTTCTGAAAGGATTCTCATGCCTGACCCTTTGGGACAAAGACTCTGAGTGGCCTGAGTTGGATCATATGAGCAAATCTCCTAGAAAAACCACAGCTCCTGGGGCATTACACCTAGCATGAGGACATTATTGCATGAGGACATTGTCAAGCACCATTATGTATTATTTAGATATGCACTTGATCATAGTAAGACATAAAAAATGTTAAAGAAGTACTTACGTTCTGTTATGCTTTTTAAAACTATCCACCTCATTCTGAATGCACAGGAGATTAAAGAGAGAGGAAGAGAATTAAAATCAGGCACTGGAGCAGGGCACCTGTCAGCATCGTATCAGTGGGAACTAGGCCGACAGGTGAAGGCTTGAAAAAAGGCCACACGCTGGCTCATTGACCTCTTTCTGCCCATCTCCCAGCTGGGCCTCTGCAAACACCCCACTTTTCTTCTTGGGCCCAACCTTGACACCTCAAGGAAAAGGCCTTGCTGTGGTATTCACCCTCTGCATGTGCCCCCAAGACTGAGGGGCTTCTGTGGGGTGGCGAGGAAAGGAGAGCCACAGTTCATTACCACCTCCTGGGCATGCACGACTCATCTCAAAACGGGGAGACTGCTTCCTTAGCCTGAGGAGAAA